GGTAGATGTTCCAAATTTTCTTCTAAGTGTTTAATAATTTTATGTCTTACATTTAGATTAGTGAATCCATTTTGGGTTAATTTTTGCATGGAGTATGAATTCTAGGTCTTTGTTGTTTTCCTTTTGTGTATGGTTGTCTGCTTGTTCCAGAACCATTTGTTGGGAAGACTATGCTTTCTCCATTGAGTCTTTTTTTTTTTTAATCTTTATCAAAAATTAGTTGGCTGTAAACTGCAAACAAAATGAAGACAGGAGGAAATGAATAAGCAATTAAGTATGAAAATTAATACAAATGTTTGAAGGTGTAAAGACTCATGGCCTGAGTCTTGAAAAAAACATAGATTTGAGAGGAAATGGGAAAACATTTTAGAGAATAGCTTGCACAAATTTAGGTCCTAAAGAACATAAGAACTGGCTATTTTGGGGTGTCGTGGGAGTGAAGGGGAGGAAGGACATAAGGGGAGGATAATTTGTTAATGTGTCTAGGAAACTGCTGGCTAGTTTATAATCAGTTTATTGGCTGCTAGAAGGTACTGTAGGTTCTGGAGCAGGAAGAAGGATATGGTAGAAATCGTCTTCAGGAGAAGTGTTTTTAGGGGTATGTATGGCAGTGATGGAGCTTCCCAGGTGGTGCTAGTGGTAAAGACCCTGCCTGCCAACACAGGAGACATAAGAGACGCGGGTTCGATCCCTGGGTTGGGAAGATCCCCTGGAGGAGGGCCTGGCAACCCACTCCAGTATTCTTGCCTGAAGAATCCCACGGACAGAAGAGCCTGGTGGGCTATGGTCCATGGGGTCACAAAGAGCTGGACACGACTGAGCTACTAGGCAAGCACTCAGATGGCAGTGCTGTGTTAGTAGGGAGAACAGGATACAGTCATGAGCCTGACAGTGTTGTTACTTGATAACAGTAAGTCCTTTGTATTTCTTAGAAGGATTTTGGTAGATTTCAGACTTTTGCCCCTTTTTCAGACTTTTGTCCTTAGTGATGGCTACTGAGAACTCTGCTGGACTTTCTGACTCCTTCATGTTAATGCTTCCTTTAGTAAGCTGTACGTGTTGGCTCATCGTTGACTTTGGATGACATTCCTTATCAGGCCTAAAAAGAGTCCAAGAGATGAGCAGCTGAAATGATGAAAACATAGAGTTGATGAATTGGTCCAGTGAGAAAGAGTTAATGGAATCTCTTTTATTTATCAATGGCTAAGAGGAGACTCAGGGGTTATTTAATCAGAACGTCCTGATACTTGTATTTGAAGAACCACCCAGAGAGTGGTGATGACCAGCTGCTCTTCAGAGTCACTGAGGACGGAGCAAGGATAGACAGCTCAGATGGCAGGATTAGGGTTTTAGTTTGAGGAGAGACTTTCCAGGCAGTGAGAACATTAGCTGCTTACTGCCAGTGATGGAAGGGTCTTTAGAGAGGGAATAGGAAACCTAGATATAGTCCGGGAACATTTTTCTTATAGTTGGGGATGTGACAGGTGACAGCCCTTGAGTCCTAATTTATTAATTTGTGACCAGAAATACTGTTTCTGTTTTCTTAACAACCACTTCCTGTTCTTGATTTCTTTCCGTGAACAAATTATATTTCTTTTTCTGTTCACCTTTGGGCATCTCATTTGGTTTCTGCCTTCTCTTGTGCGTTTAAAAGATTATCTTGGATGTAGATTAGACTTCTGTCATTAAAAAAAAAATAGCTTCTCAACAAATAGAACTTTTTAATGTCAAACTGCTAAATATCCATGCATTCCTACTTTTTAATTTAGAACATGGAAAAGCGTATCATCCCATTTTTATAAAACATCAGTGGTGACTTGTTGAGCAAAGGATTTTACTGCATAAGAGATTACCGTGACGTGTATTAATGAAAGATTGGCAGTGTGAGAAGCTTTCGTGCGATCACTTATTTGCCTTCAGAGCAGTTTTTCTCTTTGATTTAATTTTCTTAGTCTGATTCTTTTCTACAAGTCTAGATCTTTTCCCCACTGAAATGTTTAGATTGACCAAGACTGTTTCACTCATGATTGCAACCCTTCAGTATTAAAACGGATTTTTTTCCCCCTGCAGAAGAGCAAGCTCTTACAGTGCTATGCAAGCTGCCCATTTAAAACTATCATTGCTTGGCACCTATGCCCTAGTGACAGTTTGACCAACATGTGAGCAGGCACACTGCCATCCTGACAGATGGGCGTGCGCAGAGGCAGCCAAGAAACCATGTATCTGCATCTAGTGTATTTGTTAAGGGCAGGATTCCCAGTCGGGGATGTTCAAACGTCTGTCCATCCTGAGCGTTCACGCCTATGGATAAAGGGATGTCATCATTAATCTCAGCCTCTGACTGAGATTCCATGGGTATGTAAGAGCTTCTTGGCGCTTACAGAAGTAGGCAATTGGGGACAATCAGGATAATTGTCCTCTCCTTCATCCCAAGACTACTTAAAATAATCCTTTCCTTTTTTTCCCAGCCAACTTGGTTTGCAGTGAGTACAAAACTGTTCAGACATGGTCCCGATACTTCTAGAATACATGCTGTTGCATTTGTTTTCTAGAGTATGGAAGCTTTGAAGCCATAAGTATTTATGGTTTGGACAGTGATGTACATAATTGGTTGGAATCTGGTAGACCTGAGTTCATAGACTGTTAGCTGTGTGATATCAGGGTAACCTAATTTTACCATCACATCAAGGTGAAATAATAGCTGCTTCATAGGGTGGTTGTGAGAATGACCTGTGAAACATGTACGGTGTATCGCTTGGGGTAATGACCTGTCCACTGTATGTGTTCAATAAGTGTTTATCATCATCATCAATATTATCATCGCTATAATGTACCTGAGGGCATTTTTCTCTGGAGAGTTATCTGAAACAGGAAATCTTTTTAACACTTATTTCCTATTAATACCATCCTTGAAAGTCATGTATTGGATATCATCACATTGTTTAGTCTATAATGGAATGCCTTCAATGACAGGGAGCTCACTGCCTATAGAATAGGGGTATTCAGTCATGGGGCTGGTTACAGTATAGATGAGTTGTCCTTTTTTGTGTGGGGTTGTTATCTGAATTGTTGGGTGTTCACTGTCCCTGGCCAGAGGGCCCAGAATTGTCCCTGTTTGAGAACCACTGCTCTCTCCTGTTCTTCAAATGAAGTATTGACTCTTAGTAAGTACTTTCTTAGATTGAGTGGAAGTCTTTATTTTTCCTACCCAGTTCTGTCTTTTGGAGACATGTAGGACAAGCTCAATTCCTGTTCCACATTATGGTCTTTCAAATTCTTGAAAATGGTCATCAAGTCTTCTCAGTCTTTTGGAGTTGAAACATCATCTAGTTCATTAACTCTTTCTTACAAGTCTTGATTTCATGTCATTTCACCACATTAGCGACTTTCCTTTGATTTAAGGGTTTTTTTTTTTTTCCTTTTTTAAATGGTAGTGCTTAAAATTGAATGCAGTACTCCATGCAGGGCTTGATAAATTAAAAAAAAAAAATTGAGTTGCATCTCTTACTTTAGATACAACACTTTTCTATTAGGATAGGAAAGATTACCTTTCATCATCTACATACTATCAGCTGTATCCTTTATTAGCTGTATCCTTTTAATGACCACATATGTGGAACCTAGAGTTGAATAAACCCCCTAGATCTATTTAAGCCTTGTCTTCTTTAGCCTGTTTTTATGCATTAGTTTTGGGGTTTAAACATGATAACTTTTGTTTATCCTGTTAATTTTTTTTTAAATTTAGCTAACTGCAATCCAAATTCTTGATCAACTCTGAAGTTCTTAGCTTAAAAGAACAAGTAAGTGATAATGATGCTATCACCTGAGATTGAAAATGTGGGAGAAAGGTGTGTGTTTGTGTGTGTGCATGTATGCATGTGCACATGTCTGAAAGGGGAATTGGGGATGGAAACCTGGGAATCCTGATACTAAGAGGCACCTGGACGCAAAGGAGGCAACAGGAGACCAGGAAGGGGTGGGCCAAAAAAGTATGGTGAAAATGAGTTTATCTTGGAAGCTGGAGAGACTGTGTGTTAGATACTGGGGTAGATCCTTGAATACAAAATGAATAGGACATCGTCTCTGCCTTCTGCTCCTGTTTTTATTTGCCCCGTGGTTTAACTGTTCAGTTAATGGTGTTACCTAGTCAGTTATGCCTGAAAACTTAGAGTTATTCTTTACTTTACCTTCATACCCTCCCTGGTGGCTTAGATGGTAAAGAATCTGCCTTCACTGTGGGAGACCTGGGTTCGATCCCTGCCTTTGGATCCCCTGGAGGAGGGCATGGCAACCCACTCCAGTACTCTAGCCTGCAAAATCTCATGGACAGAGGAGCCTGGTGGGCTGCAGTCACAGAGTTGGACGTGACTGGGTGACTGCACACACATCTGAGATTCATTCATGCTGCATGTAGTATGTTGTGTGTGTTGGTAGTAGCTCTCTTAATTCTGGTTAACTGTTGTTGTGAGGTTTTTTTGGTTGTTGATTGCTACCTAACACCAAACTTAGTGGGAATTAAACAACAACCATATTATTATGCTCATGGATTCTGTGGGTTAGGAATTTGGTTGTGGAACAGCTTGCCCTGTTCCCTTACTCACGTGTATGGCGCTTTGGCTGAGATGTCATGAAGACCAGGACCATCTGGGATTGTTGACTGGAGAACTTTTTTTTTTTTTTTTGAAAGTGGCTGTTTGTTTTTCTAGTGGTATATCTAAAGCAATTTGAATGGAGGCAAAAACTTCTGCTTGAAACTTGCTTTGCTTGTTTGCAACTTTGAGTAGATTGTTTGAATAGTGTTCAGATATTGCTGCTGGAAAGGGTGTAATGGGGTCAGTGATGGTCTTTAACCAGAGAAGTCATCGTCTGTATCCAGAAGCAAAGATTTCCTTTGAGACGGAGAGTTGGTCACTAGGATAGTGGTTGCTCTAAAGGTGGCTGTGCCCTGCTGCAGGCTCTCCATGAGGCCTTGGCTCTTCAAGCACGTGGACTGGGTTCCCAGAGGAAGCCTGCTGAGAGTGACTCATCCACAGAGGTCACACAGCATCACTTCCACTGTACTCTGTTGATTGAAATGGATACAAGTCTGCCTGGATTCAAGGGGAAGGAACTTAGACCTCTCATCTTTATGAAAGGTGTGTCAAAAATTCTGTGACAGTTTTTAAAAACCACTGTAAAACAATTTATCCATTCTGTTGTAATTGTCAATGAATATTGGAATAGTTTGAATATTGGAATAGTTTCTCCTTTGGAGAAGTTTTGAATAATGCTGCTGACATCATTCTTGTTCATATCTCCTGGTTCACATGTGTATTCATTTTAGTTGAGTATACTAAGAGTAGAATTGCTAGTCCCAGTGTACATGTATCTTTAGCTTTGATAGTTACTGCCAGTTTTCCAAAGTGGTTGTACCAATTCATGCTTCTACCAGAAAACGGAGTTCCCATTGCTCTTCACCTTCACCTATGCTTAGTACTATCAGTTAAACATTACAATTTTTTTTTAAACTATTCTGTGATTGTGTTGAAGATCTCAGTGTGGTTTAATTGACATTTCTTTGTTAACTGGTGACTTGAGCACCTTTTCATTTGCTATTAGCCTTTTAAATATCTTGTGTTATAAAGTGCCGATTCAAGTGTTGTTTGCCCATTTTAAAGAAATCATTGTCTTTTTTTATTCCTTATTGAAATGTTGGGATTTTTATGTCTTCTGGATGTGAAATCTTTATTGAAAATATGAATTGTAAAAATCTCTTTCCATCCTGTGGCTTGCCATTTCACTCTTGTGTCTTTAGATGAACTGAAATTCTAAATTTTAATCAATTTCAGCTTACTAATCTTCTTTTTGACTAGTGTTTTCTGTGTCTTATTTACAAAGTTTTGCTACTCTATGGTTGTGAAGATATTTTCTTATGTTATCTTCAAGAAGTTTTATCCTTTGACCTTTCACATTTGGGTCTCACTCTCTGGGAATTGACTTTTAGTGTGTGGTGAGGTAAGGGCCAAGTTTCCTTTTCTCCCCATTTGCTTATGTCCACAGCTAGCAGCAGGTAGCACTGGGTCAGGTGAACACCAGCCTGAGAGTTAGCTTTCTTGCATTCTCAGCCTTCGTCTTCCTTTAACGCACCTTCTGAACTTGGGCACATTATTGAAACCGTCTGGCCTCAGCTTCACCTGCAGTATGAAGGATCTGAATGAAATGTTTCTGGTCTTCCTCTGGCTCTGGTTCATTGCATCATTCTGCCCAGTGTGCAGTTTTATTTAGGCCTGTAAGAATCTTTATGAATCTGGTTTCTGGGACCTAATGTGTCCATGATGTCCCCCAGCTTAATGTGATCACGAGCTATGGTGAGCCTGCCATCTGGATTTTCATCTAAGTTACTGTGAAAGACAACTTTCTTCATCACGTTGGCAAGTCCTTGCCCTGCATGTGTTCTTCTGATCGTGTACTCTGTCGCTTGCTAGGAGCTCATTGTCCTGTTTTAGTAAGCCATGGTTCGGGACACCAGTTGCAGGTTTGAATGTCATTCACATAGACACAACTTTTCATTTCATTTGTCCTTTCCTTCAGTTTCCTACTTGAACTTCTAAGAATCACAGATAACAGTGTAGTTTCAGGGATCAGCAGAAGTCATTCGTGATCAAATGAGTTATGGTCTCGGTGAATTCTGTCTTCCATGTGGCATTTCCTGCAAATAGCTGTATACTATACTGGTGCCCTTCAGGGAAGCAGTCAGGAACCACACTGGTGACAGCAAAACCTACTGTTAGCTGGTTCCTCAGTGTTCTTGGTAGTCTGTGTTGGGGTGATTTCTAGAAATCATTCAGAAAATAGAATGTCTTTCTGCAGAATGTCATAACTCCTTCCTTTGTCATTCTTGTTACCACATTTTCCCTGTCATTAACTTTTTTAAAGAAGCTTTATTGGGACTTCCCTTGCAATCCAGTGGCTAAGACTCTGTGCTCCCAGTGCAGGGGTACGGGTTCAATCCCTGGTCGGGGAACTAAGGTCCCGCATGCCACCTGGCATAGCCAAAAAAGGAAAGGCATTATTGAGATACAGTTCAATTATCATATAGCTCACTCATTCAAAGGGTATTGTTCAGTGTTAGTATAGCCACAGGACTGTAACCATCACCATAATATAATTTTAGAATATTTTCATCAGCCCTAAGAGAATTCCCCCACCAACTAACTAGCAGTCAGTCTTCATTCTGTCCCATACTCCCCAGGGCCCGGCGTGCGTGGTCAGGGTTGCTGAGTCCTGTCCGGCTCTGTGATCTTGTGATTGTAAGCCACCAGGCTCCTCTGTCCATGGGATTTTCCAGGCACTGGAGTGGGTTGCCATTTCCTCCTCCAGGGAATCTTCCCGACCCAGGGGTGAATCCTGCTTCTCCTGCATTGGCAAGCAGATTCTTTACCCCTGAAGCACCTGGGAAGTACCCCCTGGAGCCCTAAGAAACTGCTAATCTGCTTTTGTCTCTACAAATTTACCTATTTTTGAAATTTTACATGATTGAAGTCATACAGTCTGTGGTGTATTGTGAGTATCTTCTTTCACCTAGCATGTTGATCAAGTTCCTCTGTGTTGTAGCAGAATCTGTGCTTCGTTTCTTTTTATTGCTGAATAAGACCCCAGTGTATGGGTATGTCACATTTATCCATTCATCCATCAAAGAACACTTGAGTTGTTTCCACTCGTGAACTATTACGAGTAATGCTGCTGTGAAGATTTATGCACAGGTTTTTTATGTGTACGCATGTTTTCATTTTTTTCCTGAGTATATACTACCCTTGGAACTGCTGGGTTACATGGTAACTCTGTTTAACTTCTTTTTAGGAATTGCCAAACCGTTTTCCAAAGTGACTGCATTTTTTTACATTTTTACTAGCAATTGTTTGAGGCTTCAGATCTCTCCAAATCTTCACCAGTTCTGGTGATTTTCTGTCTTTTTGTTTATATCCATGGTAGCATGTGTGAAGTAGTATCTCATTGCAGTTTTGATTTTTATTCCTCTTAATGACTAATGAGGTCAAGTATCTTTTTGTGTGCTTCTTGGCCAGTTGTTTATCTGTTTTGGAGAAATGGCTATTTAAATCCTTTGTGTGTTTTTAAATTGGTTGCCTTTTTCTTATTGAGCTTATTAACCTTCTGATGTTGACCTTGATGTATACATCACCTTGATGTATTTGCAACTAGAAGCATTGTTCCCTTGATTTTCCTTCCTTTATATTTCTTTCCTTTTGTTCAGGGACCGTTTGTTTTTCCTGAAGTAAGCAGGCAGATCAAGAAGGTTCTCTAGCCCTTTTGCATTCTCTTGGCAACAGATTCCATTGGCAAAATATGTAACTGAAATACCTTAGAAGGGAAAATATACATCTCCTGGTTATTGGAATAGATCCTTTTGTAGTTCATCCTACTTCTAAAATGAACCATACGTCTTCCTTTACAAACTGGTAGGTAAAGCACCTGGTTAAACTTTAATTCAGGTCATTTTAGTTAAGGAAAAAGACCTGGAGAAGTTGGGCCTTGTTTCAGTTCATAGCAGGTGGCCCTGGACCATGACTTCATTCAGCCTAGTTTTAGGAAATAGCTGTTGGTTTCTCACCAAGTGATATGTCAGACTCAAGGGATACTGGGGTAAGATGGACTCGCTGACATCAGATTCTCATAAAATACATCAAAAAAGCACAGCGTATATGCTACTCACGGTGACACAGTGTCACAGGCATTGTGAGAGGTGTGCAGGGAGGTCTGGTCTGGTGCTCTTGATTCCACTCAGTGCTGAGACTTTCACTTTTCTTTTGCATGTAGATTTTTGAGTACTTGATTTTATCTGGACCACTCAGTAAGGAATGGTAACAAAAATGCCATCATCCAGATGCTGAGGTTGCAGAAGAAACTGACTTTATAATATTCAGCGTTTTTCACTGGAATCTAGAAGATAGTTTCTTCGTACTATTTTTATATGGTATTTTCTTAACTATTTTATCATATATTCTGCAGTAGTTTATCACATCAAGTTTTTCCAGCTGAATTTTTGTCATGTTTTGTATTAGTAAACCGCAACTAAAAGCTTTTTTCTGGCGAGTTCTACATCACTTATTTTGTTACTTTTGTCCTCTTGATCTTTGAAAGTCATCCTTCTTTTAACAGTAGGCTCTGTATTTGTAGTGAGGTGGATATGTTTCTGTTTTGTCTTTTATACTGTTTTTATGACGTTTATATTCTTAGTCATTAAAGCAAATATTTTACCACCTAAAAACTTTTCATTTTGCAAATGATTCTGCAGTATGCCCTCTACTGTCTCAGTGCTTCTGTTAATTAACAAAAAGAAAAGGCATTTAAAAAAAAAAAATTCTACTTGCCATACGTATTTTTTGCTTCTTGGCGCTGTTGACGTACTGTCCCAGGTTGTGAGACCAGGAAACTATCCAGCGCTCTTGGGGTCGAGTCAGAGGGACAGGGTGGCCAGCTGGACGGGCCTCGTTGTCGAGGGCAGAGGAAAGAGAGGAGTGGCCCTGCATCAGAGCCGGCCTGGGTCGCTTGGCCCTGCGTCCTCCCGCTCAGCAGCCAGCCCCACCGAACGCCGCAAGCCAGGTTTCTCCGAGAGCACAGAGCAAGGAGACAAAGCACAGACAGAGCCAGAGTTGCTGCCCTCCACAGAATACTTGGCTAGAATCAGTGACCACAGCCCTTTACCAGTTACCGCTTTGTTCTTGTCTCCTCTCAGATAAGGTTGATTGAGATACCCAACATAGAATCCCCCTACTTTCTAATTGCATCTAGTTTAGAGAAACTCTGGCTTCCCTGAGAAATGAAAGTCGCTCAGTCGTGTTGATTCTTTGCAACCCCATGGACCGTACAGTCCTTGAAATTCTCCAGGCCAGAATTGGTAGCCTTTCCCTTCTCCAGTGGACCTTCTTGACCCAGGAATTGAACCAGGGTCCCTGCATTGCAGGCGGATCCTTTACCAACTGAGCTATCAGGGAAGCTTCCCTCCTAAACCCTCCCCCGGTTTACCCAAGTACCCAAGCAAAATCCAAATCCTGTCATAGATTCTTTTTTTTTTTTTTTTTTAGATTTATTAATTTATTTTTGGTTGCACTGGGTCTTCGTTGCTGCAGACAGGCTTTTCTCTAGTGGTGGGTGGAGGCTGCACTTCATTGCAATGAAGCAGTGACTTCTCGTTGCGGAGCACAGGCTCTAGGCCCACAGGCTCCAGTAGTTGCAGCATGCAGGCTTTAGTTGCCCTCAGCATGTGGAATCTTTCTGGACCAGGGATCAAACCCGTGTCTCCTGCATTGGCAGGCAGATTCCTATCCACTGTACCCCCAGGGAGTTCTTTACAACATGCTCTTAGCGAGATGCCCCACTGTTCTGTGGGGGTGTGCTTCCAACTCACAGAACTCGAGGTGTGTTCTGGTGGTCTCTTGCTGAAAGGCAGACACCACAGACAGAGCAGTTTTAGCAATCACAGTAACAAAAACTACAGGGGTAAAGTTTGACAAGGAAAAGATAAATCAGCAAAATCCAAAGTGTGGGACACCAACAAGGGAAAGAAAACAAAATAGGTGGCACTTGTCTGCTTAAGAGATTCAGAGATATATCAGCCAGTTACAGTAACTAAAAAATCAACTATAGGCAAAGGTTTTTTTTTTTGAGACACTTGGGGATATTTGAACATTTATTTATTAAGTGATATTAAGGAATTGTTAATTTTGTTAGATGTGATAATGTAGAAGTAAATACTTCTAACATATGAAATGATATTATTGCCTGAGGTGTGCTTTAAAATACTCTTGGGAGGGGCTGTGGATTGGGTACACCAACTGGTGGTATGTGAATAATTGTTGAAATTGGGTGATGTGTACACAGGAGTTCATTATATCACTTTTTTACTTTGTATGCATTTGATAATTGCTCTAATTTTTTTTTTAAGGTTATTTGTATTTCCTTTTCTGTGAATTTGCCTCTCTCTGTCACTTTGGCATTTTTCTGTTGGGTTTTTGTCTTTCTTATAATCATAGGATTCTTTAATGTGTACTGAGAAAATTAGCCTGTTGTCACATATTCTGTAGATATTTTTCATTTGTCTTTTGAATTTTATTGATGGTGTTTTTAAACTGGAGAATTTTTATTTTGTCAAATTTATTAATTTTCTTTAGACCTGTGTGTTTTATTTTGTGTGTTATATAGAAAAGCCTTCTCTGGGATTCTGAAAAGCTTATTATATTTTCATGAAGTATTTTTAAATGACTGTAGTCCTCTTCTGATTTATTGTGACTACTTTGGTCATCTTAATTTTCTTTAGAGTATTTAGAAATAGTCTTCCTTGGAGCGCTGCTGCAAGAATATACAAGGAAGGATGTTGTTCACTGGCTATCCTGTGGAGATTTAATAGTGAACACCTGGAGAATTAACCGTAAACAAAGTTTGGTAGTTAATATTGCACACCCCCCCCACCCCCCGCCCACCGCCATAGCAGAACTAATGGGAAATCTATCATTTAACAAGATCGTCAAAGTGTGCTAAATATTATTTTAAAAATTAGCAATATAGTTCAAAACCTCTAATTTTGGAAAAGTTTCAGTATTTTCTTTACATAAAGAAGCATTCCTTTTAGCTCTTTTTTGTAGAGTTTATGGGTCAAGGAACCAGGTGCCCCCTCCCTTTGAATTCAGCGTTTTCAAGCTTGCCCCTTTCTTTTGAGTTGATGCCTTCGTTGGGGCAGAGCAAGTTTTCCAGGTATTACTGTAGTGTCTTCTTCACGGTTGATTCGTGGAGACCTACTTGATTCTTTTAACCACAGCATCGAAAGTTGGAAGGAGAAGTGCACAGCAGAAACCGCATGAATTGTTCCTTTTGGGGGGAAGTGGTGGCAGTGAGGTGTCTTGGGCTTGTGTTTTAAACTGTACAATGCTGTATATTTCGGTTGAATTTAGTTCTGCAGTTAGTGTTCCTCTTTTAGAACTTTTGGAAATCATTTAAAGGAAATAAAAGTTGATGTATATCTGATACTGTATTTTAAGCATTTTATTCACTCTACCAAAACTGTTCATAAAAATCTAATGTTAATCACTGTTTTAATACAAGTTTAAAAAATCTGAATAGGAGGAAATTTTTCTCCTATGAAGATAATCTACTTTATTTTTCCAAGTTAAAAGTTTGTCTTCACCTGGTTCTTTGCAGCTTAGGTGTGAAAACACGACTAGTATGACAATTGTTTCTAAAGATTGTGTCACAATCTTAAGTTTAGCTTAATATTTCTTTGAGTTTAGCTTAATGTTTTTCAGAAATAAACCTATGAATTGATAGGGTCATTATCTATGGAAGTTCACTTCTAAATTCGCATGGTTTGTTGTGTTACATTTGGCTCAGTAAAGAATCTGCCTGCAATACTGGAGACCTTGGTTCAGTCCCTGAGTCGAGACGATCCCCTGAAAGAGGGCATGGCAACCCACTCCAGTATTCTTGCCTGGAGAATTCCATGGACAGAGGAGCCTGGCGGTCTGCGGTCCATGGGGTCACAAAGAGTTGGACATGACTGAGTGACTAACACTAACTAACTTGTTAGTGTTGCTGAGGGTACCATAACAGCCATGATTAGTTTTCATACTTGTATTGATATGCATGGTTCTCTAAGTGAAACTAGGAGATTGATTGAAAAGTGAAAGTCGCTCAGTCGTGTCCGACTCTTGGCGACCCCGTGACTATACAGTCATGAAATTTCCCAGGCCACAATGCTGGAGTGGGTAGCCTTTCCCTTCTCCAGGGGATCTTCCCAACCCAGGGATTGAACCCAGGTCTCATGCATTTCAGATGGATTCTTTACCAGCTGAGCCACAAGGGAAGCCAAGGAGATTGATTGGGTGTCCCTAACAGGAAGTCAAAGGAAACCTTCCTGCTTCTCACTAGTTGATGGTAAATGGTATTGGTAGTAACTCTGCATTCATTCCTGTGGTCATCCTTACAGTTCTGTCTCAACTGTAGGATTTGGTGGGATAAACTGAAGTAATTATATGAAAGAGACCCTGTATATTGTTGGGAAGGGTATATAAACTCAAGATTCTATATTTTATTTTTCATATGATTTCTTTGCACTCATCAGATGCATTAATCAACTTCTGATTAGCTGGCTCATTTGTAAGAGAATTGTCTTTAGATGTATTGCTTTCAAATTATTCTTGATACAATTTAGCAAAAGAGATGATGAAGTTCTTATTGACTGATTATCTTCTAGTTGATTTTATTCTTTGACTTATTGTAGACTGGCAGGAAGCCATTTATACTAAATATGTAATTATTTCTTAATTTCAAAGAAGTTTGAAATATAAATGAAGGTTTTTGGCTTGGGGTGGGATGGGAAAAAGGTGATTTGGGTGGGGCAGGGGGCACTTCTTCTGAATCATTCATTCAGTACTTTATATTTTTTACCTAACTTCTAAAATGAAGGAGACTTCTATTAAAATTTTCTGATGCAATAGAGTTGTATGTAATAGAACCTTTAATTGAAAATGATTGACTTAGTGAGGAAAGGAAGATGTGCCAGAACACAGTTGACCTCTATATCCATTGGTTCTGCATCCACAGGTTCAGTCAGCTGTGAACTCAACTAACTGTGGATCAAAGATACTTGAAAAAAACTTCCAGAAAATTCCACAAGGTGAAACTTGCATTTGCCACGTGGGCAGCTATTGTCGTAGCATTTGCATTGTGTTAGTTATTATCAATAATCTAGAAAATATTTTAGTATATGGGAGGATGTGCATAGAATATATGCAAATACTATGCCATTCTATGTAAAGGACTTGAGTGGATTTTGGTTTCCAAGGGGGTGGAGGAACCAGTCCCCTGAGGATACTGAGGGATGATGTATATAGACCAGTGGTCCAGTTTGCGCTTCACAACTGCCTGTGCAGGATTAAAACATAAGACACTGGGGCTCTTGTGAAACACTGGGCCTTCAGTGTTTCAGAGTTCTACCGGTAATCATGATGTGTAGCCAGGATTGAGAATTACTGCCTCCCACAATGGTAGTTATGTAATCGAGTTTATACTTTTCTTTTGAACTTCCTGCCACTCAGTGAAAAGGGGGAAACAGGAGTTTCATAGCTCTTAATGGCTTAAAAACTTTCATCACTGGAAGAGGCACTTTTTTCCCACCGTGAAACTAATAAAGGTTGATCTTGTAGATGTCTGCAGCTGCTCACTTTCTTTAATAAATAGTTTTTACCAAAGAATTGAGAAACATTCTTTACCTGGCGAGCTTTTTATTGATCCTTGTTTGAAGCTGATGATATAATATTAAATCCTGTGTGATGGTGTTTCTGCATGAAGCTAAGTGCAGCTTCTTGAAGCCAAAAGGTTGCATTTTATTTGTGTTTATATTTGTAGCCCCTAGCACATTTTCCAGCACATATACTGGAGGTGTTTTATAAAGGCCTTTGGAATAAATGAGTTCAAATGTTTCATTTCCTGGTGAATTAACTTGCCATGAGATAGAGCTTAGAAAATCTAGAGTAAGAGATGATTAGCATGTTTCCTAGACCATCTGTCACTAATATTGATTGTTTCGACTTGGCACTGGAGACTTGTTTTTTTGGGAGTGGGTAGCTTGTATAAAGTTAAAAAAAAAATTGGAAAAACCTCCTGTATTCTGTACCCCTCTCTTTGGTGGCTTAAAATCAGTTTTCAGAAACTTGTCATTCTCACCAGTCAGTAAGCATGAAGTCAGGCATTGGTCATTCCAGTAGCCACACTGTTCTAGTAACTGGTAGTGGTTTCTGCCTTGCCCCCTTCCAAATCTGTTTGACGTGCCTACCAGAGTGATCCCTTGAAAACCTCCGTCAGAGCACACCACTCCTCTGCTCCAAACCTTGCTGTGACTTCCCACCTCACCGAGGTTCAGTCAGTGTCCTCACAGTGGCCTGTATCCTGGACGTGATGGCTGCACCCGGCCGTCTTACGGGCCTGACGCCAGCCAGTGCGCCCTCTGCCAGCTGCGCCGGCCTCCTTGCTGTGCTGGCAGGCCCTGGCCCTCGGACTTGGTGCTTGCGGCCCCCGCAGCGTGAGATGCTGCTCCTCTCCATCACCGCCTGACCGGCTTCCCTCGCTTTACCTTCAAGTCTTTGCTTGTTGTTTAGTTGCTAAGTTGTCTCCGACTCTCTTCGGTGCCATGGACCATAGCCCGCCAGCCTTCTCTGTCCATGGGATTTCCCAGGCAAGAATACCAGAATGGGTTACCATTTCCTTCTCCAGGGGATCTTTCTGACCCGGGGATCGAACCCACATTTCCCGCATTGCAGGCAGATTCTTTACCACCAAGCCACCTGGGAAGCACCAGTCTCTGCTTAAATGTCACTTTCTTGTGTGGCTTTACCAGATCACATTTCAGTTTCAGCCCCAGTTTCCCCACCCCACCCTTTATTCCTCCTCTATTATTTTTTCCGTTAGTATTTGTCACCATTGGACATGGCACATGTTTCAAATTTGAAAAAATTCTCTCTCTCAAATAATGTATAAGCTCAGTGAGGGCAGGATTTTTGTCTGATTTGTTTACTGCTTTATTTCCATCTGCTAGAGCAGTTCCTGGCACAGAGGTAAATATTTGTTGAGCAAATGAATTAATGAAGCAGACACTATATATTGTAATATCGAGTTCTGTTGGGGTTCAGTATTATTTTTATTTTAAATTTTAAGGGAGGTGTAGCATAGTCGAGTTTTGCATTTCCTGTCCCGAAGTTGTACCTCTTTCTCTGGTAGCACCGCCACGTGCATGTTAAAGGGAGGGTGAGGTCTCGTCCTAGTCTGTCCTGTTGAGAAATGAATTTCGATCCTTTATAAAACCAATCCTACCTTGAGGTGACTTTAATGACAAAAGCACTTAAGGTTTTAGGTGTATATCAAGTTCAGCTTATTGATGAGATAAATTATGAGGATGGAATAATTCACAACAACCAGAAATATTTTAAAAATGTAAAAATTTTGGTGAGAAATTGGTCAGTGGGAGAATTCTTGACTTGGGTAATCAGAGTATGCTTTTCATCCTGACTGATATGAAGGATTGTGAATCAAGATGCAAGTATAATACCTGTTCCTAGTATCACGTTTACCCTTTCGCTAAAGTCAGGAGTCTTTACAGTGGCCCCTGGGGCTCCCCTTGATCTGGCGCTCCCCTTGATCTGGCGCTCCTGTGTTCCTTCTCTGACTTCTCTTTTCCCCTTGCTCACACCACACCAGCCTGCTGGCGCCCTGCTCTTCTCCGCTTGCATGGCACACTCCTCACCTAGGGGCCTTGCACCGCTCAGCCGTCTGCCCAGGTACTCATGGCCAGCTCTCCCACTCCCCTCCTGTCCTTGCTCGGATCTCCCCTTCTCAGGGGGCTGACGGTGACCTTTCTGTTGACACCACATGCTGCCCCCAGCCCCTGTGCTCTCCCTGTCCTCGGCCCCTGACGTGCTCTTCTTCTCTTTAAACGTAGCGTGTACCTCCTCTAAAATATTGGATAATTTTCCCATTATGGTAGGTTTTATTATCTTTCTTCTAGAATGTAAGTGTCAAAGGTAGGACCTTTGGTTCCTTGGAGAACAGTGAAGAGCTGGAGGAGCACTAGAGCAGTGCTTGGCATGTGCAGGTTATCAGTGAATGTTTGCTGAGTGAGGGAGTGAATGAAGAAATCATTCCTCTGCTTCACAAGTTCACATCATTCACAGTTGGCCTTTATTTACTGCTGTGATAGTGGATAGATTTGTGTAATTAACATCTATAGGAACAACCTTTGAAATAGTACCACTGGTCTTTGTACCTCCATATTGTAACTTGGGTTAGAATTTCCTTCCTTTTAAGGCTGCAGATATCACATCATATGTTTATACCACATTGTGTGTATCCACCCATCCATGGACAGACACCTCAGCTGCTTCCACATTTTGGTGGTTATGAATAGTGCTGCTTTGAGCATGGGTGTGCACATACTGCTTGAAGGCTATAAACTCTCGAGATCTGTTAGCTTAAGGAAATCACATCAATCAGTTATATTTTCTGTATATGCCTCCATCTTACTTTTAAACCTCTTAACTTTATTTCCAGAGGTCTTAATTTTACTTAACAGCATGTCTGTCTTTTATGTAATCTATTCTCATAAAATTTGTATGGTGGTGTAAGCTGTGGAAATATAGATGGTCTGGTTTTTTAGAGTGATACAATCCTGGAAAAATGTACATCAAAAAGTGGAACAAGTTGCTTGAAAGAATGAGCAGTTACTCACTGTTGTGTCTCCCAAATTATCTAGGCTGTGAGGGCTGGAAGCAGTAAGAGTGAGAACCAGGGAAGTGTTCTGTTGAGAAAGCAAAAGCAAGAGAATGAAAGCAAAATGCAAGAAAAGCAAGAGAAAGCAAAAGAAAGGATGAACAGCAGCGTTGAGTGCTGCTGGGGAATGAGCAGAGCGAATGAGGTGACTCGAAGGCTACTGGGGTTTAGTGCCCTGAGGCGAGTGGTCGGAGTGGACTCGTGATCCAGATGGACTGAGTTGTGGTGACAGGGATGAGAAAGGGTACGTTAGTAAGTACAGATACGTTTAAGATGGTTGGTACTGATGATAGCAGAGGGGAATTTAAAAGGTTTTGGGTTTTTTTTGTAGGCATGCCATGAGCATATTTAAAAGCTGATGGGAAGGCTCTGGTTGAGGGAGATGTTGAATATTTGAGAGAATGGTTAGTTAATAGTTTTAGTCAGTATGTAGGAGGGGATGGGATACAGGTGAAGAAGGAGCTGGTGTTTGATGGAGGAGAGGATAGGATGGAGGCAAAGTTAGACTTGTAGTGGATGCAGGTGGTTTGTAGGTTTGAGTCTTGGAAAGATGGAGGAACTCCCACTGAAGTTTCTGGCTTTTTTCTCTAAACTAGGAGATGAGGTCATCTGTTGAGAATTATGAGTTAGGAGGGGGAATTACAGTTTTGAGGAGACTAAATAGGGTTTGATATGGATTTCAATTGCTGGGCTTTTCGAAGGAGTGGCACTGTCCGCTCCATTTGGATGTATATTAAGCATAAAGTTAGATGTCAGGTAGTTGAGGAAAAAATAACTTATTAACCTTTTGCTGTATAACTTGACACATATATTGAATTCTTACCAAGTGCAGTGTATTGTAAGACAGGTCTGATACTTAGGGAGCTCATAAACTTACAGAGAACATTTATCAAATGCAATAAGCCGTAAGAACAGGACTGAAACTTGAGAGGTCATGTCTGACTGCAGAAGAGCTAGATCTTTGTGTATGGAAAAGATTTTCAGCAAGTGTATATGGGGAGTGGGGGCGAGAAAGTGCTTTCAGCTGCAAAGAGTAGAGCTAACAATATGTTGGTACCATGTTAATGGCCTGATGAATAGTCCAGGTTGTTCAAAATTACCCTGAATCAGTGTGTCTCTGTGCAGTTTAGAAGCATCAGAGAACTTATGACTTTAAAGAAAATTTCATAAAAATATATGACCCCCTCAGAGAAACTCAAGTACATACCTATTTTAGGGAAAATGTATGGCTAGCATCCAGTATGTGACAAGCTTTATACAGCATTGTAATTTCCCAGTTTGGGTATGATGAATTCAGAGCTCATTGAGTGTAAGTTGCATTATTGGATTCATTCAAGCTTTTTTTTCTCTATTCAACAGAGGATTAAAAAAAAATTGCAAATTTGAATCCAGGACTTGGAAAATGCCAGTTGTCTAAATACAGTACCATATTGTGATAAATATAGCTATTGAAATTTTAAGAATCTTTTCACAAAACTTTTAATATTCATAGCAGAACTTTTTTTGGAATGTTATCTGAAAAATAGAGGACCATTTTATTATCAGCGCTGACTATTAATTAGGGTATTGTTTCAGATATAAAAGTTGATCTGCCACTGAAATTCTATTTGAATATGTATAGTTCCAAGCTTGCTTTGTGTATTTAATAACTTTAGTACCATAATTACTCTGTTTACAATTAAGTTTTGGTGAATATGCTAATATGGAATATACCAGCAAACGATTTCAGTAAAGGGAGGTGTTGATTTACATTTTCATGTGCTTTTCACTTGAGTCTGAGTTTCATTCAATGTCAGTGGGAGAAGAGGTGGTCAGGCTATGCAATGGTCAGTGACTGTGAGCGTTCTTTTCTTTGGAGTCTCTCTCTCGGAGGCATCATGACTCGGGTTTGCTTTGCTCCAGCTGGGCAGAAATTGTGCAGAAAGGTTTAATTTGGTGGAGGTTTGTTCCCTCTGGTTTATTCTTTTAATAGAAACCTTAGTGTAGGTATTGGTTTCATTGTTAGGAGAAACCTATAATATACTAAGGCAATTGTTTAATTCCAATGAGTATTTTACGTTCCTTACTGAGGCATATGCTTATGGTCATGTTATTTATTACAGTTTTTGACCAGAGACTTCTGATTTTAAGTACTTGTCCTTTCTTCTTTTCAGAAATCCTCTTAAAAGGACAAGGAGATTGAGATACACAGACTTCATATTCTCTGAAGCTTGGAGACGTCTTTCACTCTGAACCAGAGAATAAGAGGAGTGAAGTGGAGCAAAGGTCAGACAGGGTGCGGGGTGCCAGGAGGGGGCTTCCTCAGGGCTGAGGCCCGACGGGGCCTTGGGCAGAGCTGGCCGAGTGGCGTTCTCCAAAGGAAGCGGCCCACCCCGAGGGCACGGCCGGTAGCCTTTGTTGGGAAGAACAGGAGCGGGTGGTGGCAGAAGAGGGCAGGGACACTTGGTGGTGTGAAAATGCTCCAGTGCGGTTGGTGCCCAAGTGTGGATGCGCGTGCAGAGACCTGTCAGCCTTTGGGGAACATTTATGCAGGTTATCAATTTATTGCCTCTCAATCCCACAAACAGCTTTCTTTGCTCTGTTGATGATGCTTGAACTAGACCCGGTAAGCCTTTTTTCCTCTCCAGCAGGATGTTGGTGAGTCGGTAGAGGGTGAGGGAGGGACACTGCCAGGCGGAGGGGAAGGGGCCTCTCTTGCTGTTGCATTGTCCTTGGTTTCCCCTCCCCGTTAAAGAGCGGATGAGCAAAGCATGCTTGTCCTCCATGGCTCTGTCAGCATCCCAGTAGCATTATCTGGTTTCCACCAGGACCCCAGCAGGTGGAGTCCTGTGTCCAGCAGGCGCCCTCGCGAGCCATGCCACCCAGCGGGCTGCGGCCGCAGCCCGTCCGGTGCGGGGCTCCTTTCCGTCTTCTCTCGTTTGATCTTGTAGATTGCTCCCGCCCCTGCCTTTGCTCTTGCTTAGGGCTCTCTTACTCCTTTCAATAGTCAGCTGCCTTTTACAAATTAATGATTTTTTATTGTAAGTTTTTTTAAGTGATTTATGCATTTTAACTCCTGATTGGATCCTGTTATAACACTTAAGGTTTGTGTGATCAGCTGTTAATTTTACATAAATTTAAAAATAGAATGAAATAAATCATGTGTATAACTTGATTAGTTTTAATGATGTGAACATACAATATAGATATTACCCAGACTGGGGTGTGGGACATGACCAGAGCCCCAGAAACCTTCTAACTCAGTGATCCTGCTGTTTGACTTCTGTTATTATGGAGTGGGCTTCGCAGGTGGTGCTAGTGGTAAAGAACCTGCTAGTCAATGCAGGAGACTCAAGAGATGTGGGTTAGATCCCTGGATCGGGAAGATCCCCTGGACAAGGAAATGGCAACCCACTCCAATGTTCTTGCCTGGAGAATCCCATGGGCAGAAAAACCTGCTGGGTTCCAGTAGTCCATGGGGTCGAAAGGGTTGGACATGACTGAAGTGACTTAGCACATCACGGATTAATGAGATGAATCATAGAGTATGTTGTCTTGTGTCTGGCTTCCTTTTATCAGCATACCATTTGGGTGGGTGGTGTTACTCAGTCACTAAGTCATGTCCAACTCTTTGCAACCGCATGGGCTGTAGCACACTAGTCTCCTTTGTCTTCCACTGTCTCCCAGAGTTTGAGCAAGTTCATGTCCATTGAGCTGGTGATGCTATCTAACCACCTCATCCTCTGCTGCCCCCTGCTCGTTTTGCCTTCAAACTTTCCCAGTATCCGAGTCTTTTCCAGTGAGTTAGCTCTTTGCATCAGGTAGCTAAAGTGGAGCCTTTATTGGAGCCTTAGCTTCAGTATCAGTCCTTCCAATGAATATTTAGGGTTGATTTCCTTTAGGATATGGGCTTTCCTGTAGCTCAGCTGGTAAAGAATCCACCTGTGAGTCAGAAGACCCCCGTTCAATTCCTGGGTTGGGAAGACCCCCTGGTGAGGGGATAGGCTACCCACTCCAGTGTTCTTGGGCTTCCCTGGTGGTTCAGATGGTAAAGGATCCTTCTGCAGTGCGTGAGACCTGAGTTCGATCCCTGGGTTGGGAAGATCCCCTGGAGAAGGAAATGGCTGTCCACTTCAGTATTCTGACCTGGAGAATTCCATGGACAGAGGAGCCTGGCAGGCTACAGTCTATGGGGTCTCAAAAGGTTGGACTTTGACTGAGCGACTTTCACTTTCCTTTAGGATTCACTGGTTTGATCTCCTTGCAGTTCAAGGGGCTCTCAAGAGTCTTCTCCAACACCACAGTTCAAAAGCATCGATTCTTCAGCACTGAGCCTTCTTTATGGTCCAGCTCTCACATCAGTTCTCACTGAAAAAACGATAGCTTTGACTATACTGACTTTTGTTGGCAAAGTGATGTCTCTGGCGGTTCATCTATTGTATCTGTTTTCCTATTGATGGACGTGTGGGTTTCCAGTGTTTGGCCATTCTGAGTAAAGCTGCTGTCACCCTTTAACGTGGGTTTGGTGGATGTGTTTCTGTCTCTCTTAGGCACATGCACAGGAGAGGAACTGTTGGGTCGGGTCGCAGCTCCAGCACAGTGGATTTTCAGTGTGGTTGAAACGTTGACTCGTGTGTGAGAACTCCATTTGCTCCGCATCCTTACCAGTAGCTGGCATTGTCAGGCTTTCACAGTTCAGATCTCCACAACTTTTTAGGAACAGATAATTTAAATGGTGTTTAAACTCTTTATATTGTGATAAGAGAAGAAAAACTTCTAAAGTCTTTTTATGAAGTGAGCATAACCAGCTGCATTTGTTTCAGTCTTTTGTTTCTCCTCACATTTTATTTTTTATTTTTATTTTTTTTTCTTTTTTCCATTTATTTTTATTAGTTGGAGGCTAATTACTTTACATCATTACAGTAGTTTTGTCATACATTGAAATGAATTAGCCATGGATTTACATGTATTCCCCATCCCGGTCCCCCCTCCCACCTCCCTCTCCACCCGATCCCTCTGGGTCTT